ATTTTTTTTATTGCTAACATGGGTGGACGAACTGACAGCCCATCTGGTGTTAAATAGTCACCGGAGCCCCATAGACTTGAACAACGCAAATACAGCCACTCACATTGAGACGTGAATTCTAAGTCTTCGTTTTGAGTACAACAGCTGCAAGACTCTTCAAACCCAATCCCATTACTGCTTCACCGCCGAAATATGCTCTATTCTAAGTACACATGTGTTTAACGAATTTTTTCAACGTAATTTTCACCTACTTCAAAACGTCCGATGAACTTGAAATTTTTTGCATATTTTTCATTGCTATACCTAAGCACGTTTTAAGGACTAATGAGAATGCAATCATTTTAATATTGCAGTTTCGATCACTAAGCTGACCAAGACATCAATTATTTAAAAAAAATATTTATTTAATTTTTACTTCCCGTTGTTTTTTTTTTTATTGCCCTTGTAGGCAGTCGAGCATACGGCCCACCTCATGGTGAGTGGTTACCGTCGCCCATGGACTTCACCAATGCCAAGGGCAGAGCCAAGCCGCTGCCTACCGCTTAATACTCTCCACAAGCCTCTTTTAAAGAAGGACATGTCATAGCGATGCTCATCTAATGCTCATCTTTTTTTTTGTTTTTGAACTATACATGTTTCTGTGTTTTCTTCGTTCTTGATATTGTTCTAGTAATAGACAAAATTAAACTGCTTTTCCTTCAGTCAGAACCACAGAAATTGTAAAGTATTAGAAAGGTCTTTAACATAATAGCAATAAGAACGGGATATTAAGCCGTAAAGTTTAATATTACACGTTTAATTATTTGTTGTAAAGGGCCGAAGACTCTAGTAGCCTACGGGGCTATTCCAGCTTTGCGCGGAAGAGTAGTTAGCTCATGGGCTCAACCTGAGAGAATTTGCTAAAACCAGCGCTTTTTTTTTTTGGTCAGGAGGAAATCGCCGGACTTCCGCCCTCTTCTGGGGATACTGGGCGGGGTATGTCAGAGTCGAACTGACTAAAACCTCCTGTCGCTCAACAACCAACGTCCAAACCTCGCATGAGACAGAACTCATGACAAGGCAAAGGGGGGAAAGTGAAGCGTTTTTTTTTTATTGCTTAGATGGTTGGACGAGCTCACAGCCCACCTGGTGTTAAGTAGTTACTGGAGCCCATAGACATCTACAACGTAAATGCGCCACCCACCTTGAGATATAAGTTGTAAGGTCTCAGTATAGTTACAACGGCTGCCCCACCCTTCAAACCGAAACGCATTACTGCTTCACGGCAGAAATAGGCAGGGCGGTGGTACCTACCCGCGCGGACTCACAACAGGTCCTACCACCAGTAATTACGCAAATTATAATTTTGCGGGTTTCACTTTTATTACACGATGTTATTCCTTCACCGTGGAAGTCAATCGTGAACATTTGTTGAGTACGTATTTCATTAGAAAAATTGGTACCCGCCTGCGGGATTCGAACACCGGTGCATCGCTTCAACACGAATGCTCCGGACGTCTTATCTTTTAGGCCACGACGACTTCTTTAGGCCACGACGACTTCTTTAGGCCACGACGACTTCAGCGTTTAGTGCGGAGCACATCTCTCCCATCACCCTCCCCCTCGGGATGCCGGACTGGCGGTCGTCGGCGCCACGACCACCAGCCCTCTCGGTCGGCAG